CGCTGCAACGTTGAGCGGATCGCGTCCTTCTACGAATGCTGCGCAAATAAGTCCGCTTGTACCGCCTCTTTCGCCGCGGCTCGGATGCACTGAACATGCTCATGTGGAGACCACAGCAATCTCAAAAAGTCCACCCACATATAAAAAGGTAAAAAGACACTGAATAATATAAAACATGCAAGAAATTCGCTGTCATGTAAATCATTACTGAAATACTTACAGGCTTCTTCTTCTTGCGCCTCCTCGTTTGTTCGCGATCACTTTCTTCGGATACCTGCAAGCCAGATGAGAATCATTTCCATAAAAAGTATGGAATAGAAAAGAGTTGCAAGGTATAGGGTAACAAATTCGGGGAACGTTTCCATTAAAACTGTTGGTCGTTCTATAAACCAACTACAAACGAGCAGTTGGTAGTGAAGGCAGTCCTTCGCGCTCCCCCGCTCCCCTCTCTACTGAAAATGATTTCTCTCGACTTTTCGACTGGAACGTTAATAGCAGGACCATAAGTTCACATAAGATGTACTCCTCTGGGCAGCTGTTGTGCTGGCGAAAGAAACCCCCACCTAGACTCTTCGTTCTTCCCGACTTCGCGATGCTTTGAATCCAACAAATTCGCAAGGACAGATGTAACCTCTGATCCAATCTAGCCTCAGAAAGAACTTATTTAAAAGTTCTGGCTGTCCTCCGGCAGTTAGCAGTAAAGCACCATCAGCCACAGAAAGTCGAATTGGAGCTTATATACAGTCCTGTTCACTGCTGATGACGGCGCGTTCAGTAAGGCTGGGTTGAGCCATTTTCTTCTCAAACAGTGTTGAAGCAGCTAAGCGACAACGATTTATGGAAAATAACTGATGCGAACGATATGATGTAGTCCTGTTGGTTCAGCAACTGGTGGAGGACGGGTTCGTGCCGCGCTAAATCCCTGCCGCCTGACACATCCCACCATCAGCAGCGTAGTATTAGTACTCTGTATTTTCGTACCGAAGCATTTCCTAGATAGCGCACAGCGCTAGCTATGACAAAAAGCAGCACATAAGAAATATTCAAATATAGTACGCAATAGAACTCACGCTGTCACTTGAATCTGTCTCGATTTTCCTTTTCCTCGCATCTTTCTTCGGCCTGAAAGAAAAAGGTGAGATTACAGTCACTCAAAACATCAAGCAGAATGAGTGCACGGTGATACAGTTCACTCCCAAACAGAAGCAAGAGATACATCCGAGACAGAAAATGAAACTAACTGGCAGATGGTGAAATACGAGAAACGAAAGCTACGTCTATTTGTATGCACTGATTTCATCCTAGACTAAATCTCGTTCGGACACAGGTTAGCGTCTCAGCAACATGAGACTATGGAGATCTGAGAAATCATTGAAGACAGCCTCCGCGCTCAAGTAGTACATGGTCGTCCTTCCTTGTGCAAGTAGTACAGCCCCCAAGCTAGAGACTGTCCCACTCTCGCGACTCCACAGCGAGCGAGGAGCGAGCTACAGCCGCTGAAAGTTCTAGTTCTAACGCCCGCCCAGTTGGACCGCCCACTTGCTAGATGCCCTCTGACGGAGGGCCGCTCAGTTGTTCTTTGTTGGGGCGGCGGACATTAATCGGAATCTCGTGCCCATAAATGCTCTGCTTTCCTTTATTACATTTTATTCATTAGGAGCACATGCAGTCAACTGCATCCCATCTCGCAAGGTAAAACGCGTAAAAATCACGAGCGACCCAATTTTCGTGGTGCAAAAGCTCGACGCACTACACTACACTAAAAGATGCACGCTACCGTAACCCTAAATTCGGACGCCGAGTTTTTGAAAGTTTCTTTTCCTTTTCAAGAGTTTTTCTTCCGTGTTTTTGTTGTTTTCGTATTCTTTTTTTGCATTGGATGATATCCACTACTGGGAGATGTGATAAAGGGATTTGTGAGCCAGGGGTTGCACAGAGACCGCAGGGAGGTGTGACTGTCAGGGAGCGATTTTGTTTATGGTGTTCTTGAGGAGTCTTCTTGCTTCTTTTCTTATCAGCTACTGTTTATATTGAATATCAACTGTCCATAACACTTTTATCGCGGGAGCTGTCTTTAACACGACCATGGTCTTTCATAGTCATACAGACGAAAAGTGAGTGAAACATGCTAGTCGAAAATAGAAGGAAATTACAGATGTTCGTGGCGAATGATGGGGCGTACCAGGGAGAGATGAATCTGGCTTGGCGCCATACTCCTTTTCTACCAGTTCTTGAAGCCAGTAAGCGACAAAACTGTATCATATCGTTCGTGACAGTCGTTTTCACCCATTGTTGTCGCTTACCCTCCTGAAGAGCTGGTGAAGAACGAGTTTGGCGCCGCGCCAAGCAGCGAACACGACTGCATGTATAAAAGACAAAAAACTGATGTTACGGTAGGGACTAACCTCTTCTTCTCAGCGACTTCACTCTTTTGCTTTACTTTTTCTGCAACAGCTGCAAGTGGCTCATCGTCATCGCTCGATGACATGCTCTGCAGTAAGAAACGAAGTAAGAAATACTTCCTTGATAAAGAACGGAGATCCTCTAAATACGAATGGAATCCTGTCCAGGGTGATAAGAAATGTTTTTCTTTTCTTTAATTAAAAAATGAGGCCCTTTGATAACATACATTCCCCTTACATACGAAA